ATGCAAAGAACTAGTGTGTCTACAATGCAGTAGAAAAGTATGTATAAAATGCAGCTCGAATTATAATTTTTAAAATAAAAATTAATTTTTTATATTCTTATTAAAGCATTCTTATCGCAAATTTTAATGTAAAATAAAAATGTTGAATTTTAAAATTTACGTCTTCCATCCCGATACGTAAGCGAAGGAACTATTATCATAGTATATATTTTATTCTAATGAACTGATTTAACTCTAAAAATTGCTTTATATCTTCATGAAAAAATTAAATATATGAAATTAAATAACATTTATTCAAATAAGAAAAGTAAAACAATATCATATTTTGTTTTTAGCAGAAGCGGTCTGAGAGACCGCTCACAGTATTTATGCGACAATTTAAGTCACAGTAGTTAAAGGTTAATCGGTTTTAGTTACACAGAGTAGACATTTCTTACATACGAAAACCATTTTCTAATTTTGTAAATGAACGGCTCAATAGTTAGCAGTTTTATACAATATACTTATTCCTTTTTATTCACAAAGTCAATAAATAATAGACATAAAATCAATAAATTTACTCCTGAATAGTAATGCTTTTGATTCGAATGACGAATCAGATAAGGAATACATTCTATAGTACCATTGCCACAAAAGTTATATTTCGTTATCATTAAATACATTACCACCAGCTAGAAAATCAATAAATAGTAAAACGAATGGTATGCTTTCATATGTAGAAAAATTAAGAAAAAAAAAGGCTATGAAATATTTAAAAACATTACCCAACATGTTTTACTGATATTGTTATAAATAACAAGATGAATGTTTTCAAAATATCAATTTGAAAAAATCTGATGTGTATACCACATGACTTCTTTGTACGGAATATTAAATTATACGCATTTTTTCTTGCATCTCGTTTAAACTTATTGGATTGAATTAAACCTACTTCGCCGACAGCGCATAAACCACAATAGAATAAATGCATTCTTTAAAATTCACTTTATTTTTTTACCATAGCGACACTCTGGCGCTAGGTTCACTTAACAGTATTATATTTCATTCATATTATAACTCAGAATGCACAAAATTTATATCATTTAAAGAATTATCTAATCGTTACCACATGTTCTATTCAAATACTATAATAAAGCTAGAACGATGTATAAAAGAAATTAAGCAAACAAAACCAAAAAGAAACAGTTTTTCACAGACGACTGAGTATTTCTCATTCAATTAATTCAGTTCTCACTTCGCGACAAGGCAAAAATACATAAAAACTCAAAATATCTGTATCAAAAATTACGAAGTAAATCTTAAACACTTATTTCCTCGAACAAATTCCAGAAAGGATTAAGCATGATTTAATTCGCAATAATAAATGAAGGCGTTAAATAATAAATGAAGGAAATATATTTATATACGTTTGGCGCGGCCGATTGCAACCAAAATACGAGGTGCACATCTCTACATGTTATAGTAGTTCTATATACAAAATTTCAACGTTGTGAGGCTACTCGTTTTTGAGTTATGCGAGATACGTACGTACGTACATACGTTCGTACAGACGGCACGAAAAACTCTCTTCAGAATTCATTTTAAAGCAGTTTCATAATTTTTTTGGAGGAAAAGAATCTTATTCTGTCCTTACGTATAGATATCACGCAAATACATCGTTAAATTGCATTCGAAAGCGGTCAAAATGGATATTTTCGTTGAAATATGCTGCCTGAAGCTTTTCCCGATTACAATACTTCCTTTTTACTTCGTACAAGGAAGTAAAAATTAATAAATATTAAAACCAATAAAGTAAAAATTCAAAACCTCAAAAAAACGAACCTTATTCAAAACCTTCAAAAACCTCTTCGAGCCAAGTGTCTTTTTCATACTGCCGATTACAATGAGAAAGAAAGTTTGCCCAACTAGATATTATACCAGTTCTGTGCACAAAATATCAACATTCTACGGCTAATCGTTTTTGAGTTACGTGAGATAAATACGTACGTACAGACGTCACGAAAACATCAATTTTGAATCCATTTTAATATCCATTTTGGAATAGGAGTCCTTTATTTTGCCCATAGCAATAGACTTCAAACAAAAAATAGTCAAACTGGATATTTCCGTTGAAATTTAAAACCAAAATTTTTCGTGATTACAAAACGTTAAAAAATAAGGGGGGAAGAAAATTGAGCTCTACAGTCTTCTATCGGGAGAGCAGGAAGACATAGGGGGAGAAAGTGTCCCTTCTTTTCACTCCTCCGACTTTCGCATTGGTAGAGGTAAAATCTGTTCCTCTCAAACATCTGTATTTCTATCATCTACCCGTGTATAGAAATTTTTGATGGAATGAATTTCCTTTCCCCATGCCAAGTAAAATGTTACAGCGTTAACAATAGCATACTTAAATGAAGGGATTACTTCTCTCTTGGGGATCTTTGTGCGGTTTCACCCACTGCATGTAATTTTCTCCTCTTAAGACAGGATTGCAGCAGCAAGTATCAATGCCTAAACGTTGACGCTAAGAAAAGGAGATGGAAGATGCATTCAAATAAGAGAGCTACTTTTAATCGCTTCAAAAGAACGTTTGGCATGCCATTTTACAACTTTCAAAACCAATGAACCATGCGCTAGCGTGATGGGACAGAGCACCAGTTAAAAAGTGGACGCGACCGTTCGGGTAACCTGCCGATGTGTGAACGCACGGGCGTTTCTGGCAGCTTCCCTGTAAAAAACATTAAGCTGCAGCTTGAATGTAAAATTTATTTACAAAATGAGGTAAAAATAAATCGCTTTTGTATTACTGTTACTCACATGAGTTTCATTCATTTAGCAGTTCCTCTGTGTATTACGATGATGTTATGCTACCTGGAAATTATTACTCAAGGCTATGATATTTTTGATTGGTATAGTGCCGTGATTCTCAACCTTTTTTTGTCACGGCACACTTTTAACGATTTCAAAATTTGGCGGCACACAAAGAAAAGAAAGTTTAAAAGTTGTTTACTTACCTATAATACCTTGTGTAAAATAGTTTATGGTAATAATTTTGAACGTAAAATAAAATAATATGTACTACAAAAACAGGAGTACGTTTATCAAGGGATTAATTGCAATTTTGATAATTTCATTTATATTTGGTCGTAAAAATGACAATGCTACTCTCATATCGTCTTCTACATTTAATAGTCTCGATCTTTTTATCGTTTTTACGTATGTTGGTTAATACTGAAAATCCGAACTCACACAAATAAGATGTAGAAAACTGTAATAATATTTTCAAAGTTTTTTTGCCATCGCGGTATAATCGCATCTAATGTTAATCCAAAATGAATCAATTGATTCTTCTGAATATTTTTTAATTAAATCTCGATTATTAGAAAGCGAAATTAGTTCTTCCTCTTCATTTAAAATTAAATCAAATTATTCGGCACCAAAATTGGCTTGGATACCACAATTGGCGCGCTTATTAATGTCTTAAAACCCGAATTTCGCCAACTCTCATGAGTACTGTACACTAGGATTAAACCCATTATAATTTTTACTATATTTATTTCCAAAACTTGGTGGCATACTTTAAGAATTTGGCGGCACACAAAAGTGCCGCGGCACAGTGGTTCAGAATCACTGGTATATTGCCTCGCAATCAAATATATGTTTGTGTGCTACATCGTAATGTTATAACAGTGTACTCGACCCTTCAGCTTAACCACACATGCGGTTTCTAGCAAATATGAAATCCCTAACATCTGTAAAAAATTAAATTACGGTATTGTAGTGGTTAAGGTTTAAAAATGATCAAAATCATGGAACCAGTTTTCAGTTGTTTTAAGTCGTTCTAGTATTAAGTGACCTTACACACCTTAAACCCCTTATGATCTTCGACTGTTGCAACAATTGGGATATTTTATTTATTTTAAAAGCAATTACTTCCTACTTTTTACAGCTGACTACATAATATAGCTGCTTTAGGAATTAGTAACTAGAAAAGCTTGTGTTGCCACAAATAGTTTTGTAATTTAATCCGCTTTGTGACAAAATATTTCGTCATATTTCCGCCTTGCGCGCGTGATATTTTAAAAATGACTAATGGTACATACTTGAAATTGGATGGAATTCTTTATATGGGCACTATTTTCTAACTGAACCCAAAATTTGATGAATATTTTAATATTAAATAATTTTATACACGAAAGCATTACAGAATTTTTTAATAAAATACATTTTCTAAACGCAACTCCAAATAAAATAACAATTTAACATGAAATTCTCAGTATTTTTGATTTACAATAGTTTTCCAAATGTTATAAAAGCAATATCTTTATATATATAAGCGGCTAAAGTGTGTTTCGCTGAGAGTTTATTGTGTCCATTCGGAAAAATGAGCGCAGAAATTCACGTTTTCGCAGTTTTTAATTAATATCTCGGCCGATTTAAGTCGTACGAAGATGAGAACTATATTGATGGATTCGGAGAATTTTTTGGAATCCGAGAATACGCGTCTCGAATTTCAACTCGGCGCCGTTCCGTAGATATTCGAGAAAAAAGAATTTGGCACGTAGCCAAATCTCTCTAATAGGGAAAACCCAAGAAAACTATATAAATGCAACTCCAAATAAAATAAAAATTTAACAGGAAATTCTTAGAATTTTAGGTTCACAGTAGTTTCCAAATGTTTATAAAAGCTATATATTAAATATGGAATTAAATTATGCAACAGAATATTTTAAACTGTGCGCGCAATGTGGAAACATGACGAAAAATGTTGTCACAAAGCGGATTAAATTATAAAAATATTTGTGGCAACACAAACTTTCTGATGACTATTTCAGAAAGCAGCTATATTATGTAGTCAGCTGTAAAAAGTTGGAAGTAATTGCTTTTAAAATAAGTAAGTTGTCCCAATTCTTGCAACAGTCACATATTCGAAGATCTTACGGGTTTTAAGGTGTATGAGTCCCCTTAAGCGTGGTTAAACTTTCTAATAGTGCTCAGACTTACTGCTCTTCTCTTTGCAGGCAAAACCAGGACTGGTTATGAATCTTCTTTGCTGTGCTGTGCAAGTCCTTATGGTGAACACATTAGGCGTGGCAATGTTTGATCTTAACCGATTTCCCAGCTGGGCTAATGTAACTGCCAATGAATCACTTTGTTCATCATTCACAGAGGCGTCCGAGAGAGTCATGAGACTCAATTACGCTATACAGCTTTTAAATACGGACAATTTGATGACTTAAAAACGTAATCGGGTAAATATCATTAGAATATGCCTGTGGATGGAAACATATGTTACAACCAAAAACTATCACAATAAAGCTTTAACTTTTATTTCGTTCTTCTCTTGCTTAATAACTGTTAGAGAAACCATTTCCATTTATACCAAAAAGATCGCCTAAAAACAAAACATAAATATTGCTATACAAGAATTAAAAACATCCAGTAAAGACATCTAATTACTACGAGTAGCATAATATTCTATCCCCCCCCACAGTAACTTGTTTCATTTATATGGAATATGTCCTTCTTCCCAAGCGGGGTTGACTCAGTGAACGCCTGGGAAGCACTGGTAGTCAGGGGGTATAATAACAGACCATGGAGGTAGGAAGTAAGAGTCGCCCTAAACCAGTTTCTCCGTACCCTGCTCTGAAGCACCGGCGATCCCTACGTGGTGACCAAAACATTGGGTCATTTACCATTGAGTTCTATGGGATTTGACGCGTTCGGGTGTAAATATTTTGTAATTACGTCGCAAATATACATATAAATGTATATATTTTCTTTTTCTACAATACTTCAGAGTCCTAAGTATGTGAAAACAACATATTTTTAAACAACATTTCATTCTGAATGGAATTAAATGCTATACTTTTCACAGGACAGTTTTCTCAGAATGGTTTAATTTGAATGAAATATTTTCACAAGTTTTCGTTAATTACATTAGAAAAAAAAATTAAGGTAATTAATTCGATTTATTTTTCGGTTAAGGTACAAAAATTAAGATCAAAGTTTATTGTATTATTAATATTAAAATTATGCATTATTCTTTTTCTATTTTATAGAGCTTCTTCCTAAAATACTTTCTTAAATATGACATGATTTTTTGGCTTCTTTTAAATCGAAAATGTAAGTCAATTTATAATTAATGCTCTATTCGGTTCATTTTAAATTAGAGAATTATTAGGAAAATAGTATTTGACTTTCTCTGAACATTTCTGAAAGGGAATAAAATAAGTTTTTTTTTTTTTTTTTTTTTTTTTTTTTTTTTTTTTTTTTTTTTTAAGTATTATTTAAAATTTGTAACTGAGTTTATAAAATGTAAAGGGAATAATTCTTTTAATTATACTTATCAGATTTTTTTTTTACCCTTCATTTCAACAATACATATTCCAAAACTCTTTATTACGTTCTTAAGTGCGCATCTCATAGCATTTGCTTTACAATACCTTTTAACAGATTGCTTTCCAATACGAACAATTCTTGCTTAAATAGTTTTTATAACGTATTTGTCAACAGGATTTCAGTTTATGTTTACAATTCAATATTAAGGTTTATTATATATTTTAGATAACATTTATAATCATTATAAATTAGATACATTTAATCATTAGATTTCTTCACAGTACTATCACAGTTGTTTATAAGTGAATAAATTCTTCATTTTCAAATACATTTATAAATAATTTAAATGAATATTTAAGTATTTTGTCAAAGGCAGATACATGCTTTTTGCAAGCACATGCATAAATACCCATACATATTTCCTATTTATCATTTCCGTCATGTGCAAATCTTTAATTTCTGTGCATACACTATATTTTTTCGTGTAAAGTAATTTACACTAATTTACCATACACCCGAAAGTTTTACATAAAAAATATATATGAATATAATTTGAATGAAAATTATAAGTATTATTTTTAATAAATACCCACTCAAAGGTCAGTTTTTCCTTCAAAATTCCCCCACGATGGCATCTCTCTCTTTAGGCAGATAGCCCTTGCATGCGTTACTCTATTTAATAAAAACTTAATCTGACCTATGTGCCTAATTACAAATATTTTAACATACATAATTTTATATTTTACATTTAGCCATTAAGTTTTCAAACTTTTCAAATCTTCTAGAAAATAAATTTTGGCAGATTTCTTTAGCAATTTTCTTAAAATCTATATTTTTTGTAGTGCAACAGCTTAAAATTTTTATAAAACAAATTCATAATCAAAATCGCTGTTGTTAGTTATCGAAAAATAACCAAGATGTGATTTTTGCGTAAATGTCAGTAAACTATACAAATTGCTATTATCCATCACACTATGAATGTTTCTTTCATGCGACAGTGTCCCTTTTTCGATTTCTATGGAACTGTCGTGTGTCGAAATACTATCAGAATTTTGTCAAGCGAGCTTCTGAATGTAAACAAAAAACACCCCGTCTGGTGACCCAAGCTTCAAAGCAGTGCTTCACTTCTAGCGCGGAATGGCCCCTCCTCCCTTTCCTACCTCCATGTAACAGACTTCACAGAAGGCCTGAGGGCTCTCGGGACAGAGTAAGGCTCGGCAGGGACCATACTGATATTGCCTTGTCTGCCCTTGCTCTATGGGGTCACAACATCGTCGATTGAACAAGGGCGGGGCGGCATTAATCCTGTTTGGCATCTCTTGTTCCATTAGGTCGGGAGCCGTCTCGTTCCAAAATGTAATGTAATATGTCCTTTTTGAATTTACACGAAAGTTGCTGTTTATAATTCTGGCCTTGGCAACAGTAAATGTTGCTAGGCAACCGCATACGATTCCAATCGAAAGTCTGATTAATTCTTCAGAATATTTTGCCATTTTAGCGTGATTTGTGTTGTTTACAAGTAAACTGAAAAATTCATCTTGAGCAAAAAAAAAAAAAAAAAAAAAAAAAAAAAACGGAATTGACTCGTGAACATTTTCGTGCTATTATGTTTCAGAATTTTCTATGTGGATTATCAAGACAAGAGTGCTTCGATGAAGTTAATTCTTTATACAGTGATAAATCCCAATCCTACAGCACTGCAAAAAAATTGGTGCAAAGAATTCAATCGCAATCGACGTTCGCTTATGGACCAATTCCGTGAAGGTCGTGCAAAATCGGTTGTTGTGCCAGAAAATATCGATACTGTGCGTGAACTGATAAAGTAAGATCGTCACGTGACACACCGTGAGACTAAAGCATCTTTTTGGCATCAGAAGGTATAACATGAACACTTGGCCGTCATTGTTCGCGTTGAATCTCGCATAATCTGACAAACGCTCAAAAGAAGGCTCGTGTCGATTGGCGAAAGGAAATGCGGAAAAATACATTAAGTGCATCAAACGCTGTGTATAACATCTACACACGTAACATGTGTGTAGATAACACACGTAATCATGGATCTGTGATATGAGACCGAAGTTAAACAGTCGACTGTATGGGTCTTCCAAGACGAGCCAAATCCAACAAAAGTTGTTCGCGTTAGAGGCACAGCGAAGTTCACAATTCTTAGACAGAAAACTAGGGTTTATATCAAATTCAGTTCCAAATCTTTTATTTCATTCTTTACAAGTGATACAAATTATATTTTATTGGGTTCTACTCTTATACGCGCCCTAAGATCACCAAATGTGGTGATATGTGTTCTGCGCTGATTTTTGGCGCGAGTGCGTGTTGTATGGCAACCGTTTTGACGTCGAAAATTCTTTTGCTGAATTGATTTAATAGCTCAATGGTTCGTGTCGTGCGTGTTTTGAAATGGCCTATGTTCCAATGAGAGACGTGTTTGCAAGAGGGTCTGGGAGATTATTTTTAGTGGCTATGCAGGATAGAAGTAAGGAAACGGTGATGTAGTGTATTAAAGAGTGGATTGAGCCTTGTAGAACTATTTTTTTCGGATGGCTGAAAATCTTACAAGGATTTAGGATAAGAAGGTTTTGAACATTTATTTGTGAGCCAGAGTATGAATTTTGTGGATAGCGAGTCTGGCTGTCATATAAATACCATAAAGAGTACGTGTACGTAATTAAAAAATGTTAAAGTTACGTTCTGCTGTCCGAAAAAACATCCATTATGGTAAGTGCATTTTATTTTATTGGTTTTATTGGTACAACTCTAATATACGCCCTAATTTCACCAAATGTGGCGATATGTGTTCTGCGCTGGTTTTCGGCGCGATTGCGTGTTCTATGGCAACCCTGTTGACGTTGAAAAATCTTTCGCTGGAGCTCGTTGGTTCGCCTCTGTGTCTGAGAAGATGGGAGGGAAAGATAAAATGGTAGTTGTTGAATTGAAGTTCGGCAAACGGAAATATGATTGTGGCTATCCTGTTGAGCGGTAGTGAGTATTTGGAAGTGTGGAAAGAGGGTCTGGGAGATTATTTTTAATGGTAGTGCATGATAGAAGTAGGGATTTGTGATTTTATTTATTTGTGAACCATAGTATAAATTTTCTGGATAGTGTGTCTGGCTGTCATGTAAATACGATAGTGATTACGTGGCGGCATGTTAAAGGAGGTATGAAATTTATATTTCTGCTATTCGAAAACGCATTAATTCATAGTAAGTGCATTTTATTTTATCCTTGTTCTTATTTTGTAGAATGTTGTGTTCATTGGTTCTTTAGTATGAATTTCTGTTGTTATTGTTGTTTTTTTAAATTGTTTGAAATTTATTTTAGTTTATTTTGTTGTTTAGTGTCTAGACTGTACAATTTGTAGATGTTTTTTAAAGTTGAAACAGAACGCTGTGTACATGGTATTATTTGAAAATTATTGTTATGTTATTTTATTAGAGCGAGGAGTGCGTAGATCGTAGATTCCTTCCTTGCCTAAATTGTGCAATTCGTAGAATTTTTTTAAAGTTTAAACAGGATGCTGTGTACATGGTATTCTTTGAAATTTATTGTTGTTATGTTAATTTATTAAAGCGAGGTGTGCGTAGTTTGTAGATTCGTTCGTTGCCTACATTGTGCAATTCGTAGATGTTTTTTTAAGTTAAAACATGTCGCTGTGTACATGGGTTCTTGTCAAATATTTTTGGTTAGAAACTTTACGTTTTTGCTATCTAAATTTTTTGTTTCGGATTTTTAGCTTAAATTGTGTGTTCAAAACGTAGTTTTTGCATGTGCGAAAACCGCGTTTTTTGGAGACATTTTAGGCTAAAAGTTCAAAATGTAGACAAAAAATTTAGATAGTAATATGGCAGCGTGAAGTTTCTCGCCAAAAATATTTGGCGAGAAATTTGGCGACTTGAGGGCGCATATCAGAGTAGTTCCCTTTTATTTTGTAGAATGTTATGTTCATTGTTTTTTACTATGAATTTCTGTTGGTATTGTTGTTTTTTGAATTATTTG